ATGAGGAGACCCTATAAAAGGTGCAGAGAAGAACAAAAAAGATTCTTCAAAAAAATAAACCGGACAACCCTTTGACCGGGATGGTATAAGGTCTCCACTGCAGGCTAACTCTACCCACTGCCAGCAGTTCGATCCTAACCAGCTCAAGGTTAATTCAGACTTCCATCCTTCTGAGGTCGGTAAAATGAAGAGCCAGATTGTTGGGGGGCAAGAGGCTGACTCTGTAAACTGCTTAGAGAGCGCTGTAAAGTACTATGAAGCGGCGTATCAGTCTAAGTGCAATTGCTAATTCAATAAAGGTAAGCCATGTCTGACTCTAGGATGCGGTGCTCATCTCCATTTCTTGGCCAAGAGAGCCAGCATTGTCCAAAGACAATTTCCATAGTCATCTGGCCGGCATGGTTATATGACAAAGGTGCACAAAGCGCTGTTACCTTCCCATTGAGGTGGTACCTATTTATCTATTTGCATTTGCATGCTTTCAAACTGCTAGCTGGGCAGCAGCTGGAGCAAGGAACAGAAGCTCACCCTGTTGCGAAGAACTCGGGTCTCGAACACAGTGCCTTTAACTATTGAGCCACTGTGCTCTCTGCCAATTAAATTCCCAAACTGTTATAAACATAAAAGCATATACTGTAATACCTGTGTTGGATAATCAAGATGATCAAAGGATAAGAATGTTTTTTATTACAGACTGTAAAACAACTCCATTAAAACATCATCCCAGGAATTATTTGGGTTTGTGGATTGGATGGAACCCCATGTTTTCCTGTTTACTCAGCTTACTGACTTCAAGGAAGAGGCGGGGAAAAGCAGTGGAGAAAAACAAAATAAGAATTACAGTGACATACACTGCAGCAAGAAGAGAAGCTGAAATAAAGATTCTACCCTCAAGGCTTCTCGAAGGCTTAAAAGGCAGCGAAGGTGCCCAAAGGTATATTTTTCCTTCCAAACAGGTAGATGTTTTCTTTAGAAAAAGTAAGCAACCAATGGGAAGATTTAATGTTTTTAACCTATTTCAAAGCTCAATCAAAAAACGCCTTTTGTCTTGCACTTTAATTTCAAATGCTGTTTTGCTAACTATCCATCTGGATTTCTGACAAGAACGTTCCTGAAGCAGTCTCAGGGAAAAGAGGAGGAGGAGGAGGAGGAGGAGGAGGGGGGGGGGGGAGGGAGGGAAGAAGGAAAGTAGAAGGGAAAAAAAGAACGAACGAAACAGAGCCAGAGGGGAGAAAAAGTTCCATAACTCCTCTTGGCTTTTGTCCTGTCTACATATTATCCCCAAAGGAACATAGCTCTGAAAAAGCAGATCTCCACCCCTGCATTTGGACATGCCTGGAGATTACATGACCCTTGAGAAAATGAAACGACAATTCCAAGGATTTGCAAGAAAAAAAAATTAAAAAAGAAATGGTCAAGAACACAGGCCTCTTTATTTTATAAGAAAATAAAACTTTTGGCTCCTCTTGGGCTAAAGAACCTGGAGACAATTATTTTATTGGGATCTCAACTGAAAGGAGAGCATTGGAAATGGACGGAGAGAAGGGAGTCAACCAGCCGAGAATGCTGATGTTTTGCTACCAAAGGTCACTCAGTCAATTGGTGTCCCCTAAACTTTGAAAACTGAATGACTGTTTTTCTAAATGACTATTATTTCAACCTAGAAATAAAGGAGAAATTTTCTGGCTGCGAGAACGATCAACCCACGGAACAGAAGTTGCCTTCAGAAGTTGTGGGCGCTTCATCACTGGAGGCTTTCAAGAAGAGACTGGGCTGCCATCTGTTAGAAATGGTGTAGGGTCCCCTGCTTGGGTGGGGGTTGGACTAGATGACCTACAAGGTCCCTTCCAACTCTGTTATTCTGTATGGTATGGTTACTAGCAAAGGACACTTCAGTGAGGTTTCTCCAGTATAAAACATTTAAATTCCAAAGTCAAGTCAAGGACTATTTGTATTCTCTTTGAATCTCTGGTTTGTTCTTAACATTTTCCCCAGGTAAGGGTTATCTTCAGGTACATAAAAACTTGTTTTGTTTTGTTTTTGAAAGCACTAATACAAGTAGTCCTTGACTTACAACGACAACTGAGTCCAGAATGTTGTTGCGAATTGAGAAATTTGTTAAGTGAGGCTTGCCCCGTTTTACTATTTTTCTTGCCACATTTGTTGAAGTGACTCACTGCAGTTGTTAGATGAGTCACACGGTCATTAAGTGAATCTGGCTTCCCCACGGACTTTGACCGTCATAAATATGAACCACTCGGCAAGCATCCAAATGCAAATTGCAAGATTTATGGGGATGCTGCAAGGGTGGTTAAGGGTGGAACATGGTCATAAGTCACTTTGTTCAGGGGCATCGTAACTTTGAATGGCCACTAAACGAATGGTTTGAAGGGGAGGACTACCTATATAGCATCATAAAGATTTCTGGCCAGTAGAACTTGGAAGTCCAAAACTGAATTGCACCAATCTGGACTAAGAGCTCCGACTGGACGGTGAATTGAAACCTGGAAAATCTGTGAGCATTCCAGGCTGTGACAAGCGATATTAATGCCTCCCACTTTGACTCAATAAATCAAAACAGATTTAGAGGAACTATTAAGACTCATGTCAAGAATCCACACTTCACTTTAATAACTCCCTATTAACATATTTAACTGCTGGGCTGTATATTTTAAACATTTCTGACTATTGGGTATATGAGTAATTAGCAGCTTTTAAGAAATGCATTAATAATCAGAGAGACGTGGAGGGGATTACAGAACACAGAATAACTGAGTTGGAAGGGACCCTGGAGGTCTTCTAGTCCAGCCCTTTGCTCAAGCAGGAGAACCAACACCATCTCAGACAAATGGGAGCCCGATGAAAAGTTGCTCCACCGGTTACTTGTTCTCACTGTGGGGAAATTCCTCCTTAGATCTAGGTTGCTTCCTTCCTGGATCAGTTTCCATCCATTGCTTCTTGGTCCTGCCTTCGGGTGCTTTGCAGAATAGCGTGACTCCCTCTTCTTTGGGAAAAGATAAAACATTTAGAAGAGTGTTCACTTTTGTTTTTAAAGCGGGGGTGCGGGGGGGATAGAATTGTTGGACAGAGTGGTGCTGAGCACTTAAACGCCTTGTAAGTTTGCAGAAGAAACGAGCGGAGGAGTATGGAGAGAGGCTATTAAAAGAGCAACGATGGGCATAAACAAAAAACAAACAAACAAAGAGAATTCTCATCTCTGAAAGGTTTAGAGCAGGGGTGCCAATCTCAATTTCATTGAGGGTTGCGTTTGACCTGGAGGCGGGGTGCAGGGAGGGCATGGCCAGCTTGATATCACTCGTATCGCGGGTGCCTATGGTGGCCCAGGCACTCTGCTGGTGAAAACGGGCTCCCGAGCTCCGTTTTCGGCTCGGATGGCCTCTTGTAGTCCTCTCCCAGTGAAAACGGAGCTCAGGAAAGCTGCCTGTGGCAGATGTCAGCTATGGAATCCTGATTCATTGCTGCCACATAGGGATTAAGGACACATGGGGTTAAGGACATCGCATTAACCCCTGGTTATGTTTTGTTTCTTATTTTCTTATAGGAGGTGAACTTTTCAAGGGGGGACGCCTGTCAGCTGTGGAATTATGATTCATCGCTGCCACATAGCTGGAGAAAGTGGGAAGGGGGCTGATGTAAATTGAGTAGCTCTTAGTAGACAAAACAGAATTCTTTTAATAGTTCAAGGTTAAAGAGTGTGGCGCAGAAAGAATTGGAACTTACTTTGGGATTGGTTCATGTGATGCAATGATGAGTAAAAAGCGGATGGTTTGTAGAGGTTGGGACATTGTGGGAAGTCTGGGAAACTTTTAGTTTCGGAATTCCACAGATGTGCCAGGTGCTATTCTAATTAAAGTACTTTTGAGATTATGCTTGTCTTTGAGTTACTGTCCGGAATGGATTTTCCCTGGAACGCTGACAACAGAGGAACCGTGGACCGGTCCTTTGTTGCTTCGAGCCCCACCCACCCCGAGCCCCGCAAGCCAGATCTAAGCACCCCACGAGCTGGATTCGGACCACAGGCCTTGAGTTTGACACCCCTGGTTTAGAGGGTACATGAACTACAACCCCGCGGAGACACGGATGTGTCTCCAAAGGTCCTGTGGGATAATCAGGACTAACCAGACCCTGCTCAGCTTCTCAGCTAGACAAAGTCCCCTCAATGCTGCCGTCTGGCTAGGTTGCCGTCCAACAGTTGCTGCTGAATTTATAACTTTTAATATCACCGAAGGGGGAGAATTAATAAATGTGTGGTTCTAATCATATTCTTTCTATGTTAAGTAATTTCATTTCATTTTAATTAAGCTTACATTTCAGTTCAATCAAATTTTGGTGTGTGTAGGTTTTTTTTTTTTTTGTCCTGATTTTGCCTGCTTTGGGGAAACGCGTCTTTGGAAGGCCAAGGGTGGATCTTAACCCAAAACCCTGTGAAGGACCTGGGTGGAGAGGTGACCCTGGGAAGAGAGGTTGGGGGAACATGATGTTGGACAACAGGAATGATGGAAGACCTAGCTGCCAGAGGAAAGACTGAGGATCTTTATAAGTCTTTAGAGTAGGGTTTTTTCCCCAAAAAATCTGGATCTAAGGAAAGCAGAACTGAAACTTATATGCCAACTTATATGTCGCTGTTTCAACTTCCTGCATGCTAGCTTAACCCCAGGGTGAGCTATTACTGGGGAACTTCTTAAATCATCTACCATGGACACTGTAAGATCTTCCCCACTCCTCTTCATTATGCATTCTCCAGGAACCCTCAGGGCAAGGAGAGAAAATCCCAAGGTAGACTTATATGTGTTCTGCATTTGTAAGAATCTAGCCAATAAGCCAGGATTAATTTCAACCATAGTTTCGTTCAACGTGCGAGCCCGGTCTTCAAAAGCATGCTGCCTGCAGCTCTGGGAAGTCTTGAAGGCAGTGGGAGGGAAAAAAAGATGTGCGAGAGGGTTGCTTTCAAATACGAATCACATTCTGTGTTTTCCTACCTGTGATAGCATTTTTGCTAATCCTCCTCTCCAGTAAGATGGGGGTTGGAAAAGAGTGGAAGACCTCACCATGGGGAACAGGAGCTGCACCTATAAGAGACAGGAGGCAGAGAAACTCAACTCCTCCCCACGTGGCAAGGAGTCTTCGTGGGTGAATTCAAAACAAAGTCCTGCCATGTGCAGAGAAGGTAGGTGGGTGTGTCACAGGGTTGGAAGGAGGTCTGTGAAAAATAGCATCCTATATTCCCTCACCCTCTGCCTTCATTGGTCCTGGCCGTGGAAAGGAAACCCCATGCCCTAACCATTCGGAGGGAGGGAGGGAGGGAGGGAGGGAGGAAAATAGAGGGAGGGAGGGAAGGAAGGAAGGAGACAAAGAAGGAAGACGAGAAAAGGAAGGAAGAA